AAGTCCACCCACCAGCACCTTCGCCCTCGCTTCTTTCTCTTTCCTGCTTTTCCCAAAGATCCTTGTTTTCTTGTCCACCGAGTCCTGCCTGCTCCCGGGATGCCCTAAATTCCATCCTCTTGGCTTGATCGTTTCCATGGAGAAACGAACTCTCAAGTCTGTGTTTTGCAGGGAAGGAGAGGAGATGGTCTGGAGGGCCAGTGGGCTTGCCGAGAGAGACGGTGGGTGCAGGGACTAACTGCTGGGGAGGGGGCACATGCTCTTGCACTTCCAGAAAAAGGCTGTCCTCGGCCCCATGGGACACCTGCCCACCCTGGGGCAAAGAGGGTGGGTGGCCACTCTCTTGAGGCTGGTCCTCATTCAGAGAGTCCTGCATGCTTGCTTATGGATGGGGGAGGGGAAAGTACTCCTAGCCATCAACTTTATTTGTTTGTTTGTTTTTCCAGAGAACTAGGCTTCCACCTTTGAGTGGCCAGAAGCTCTCAGAACAGCTTCTGGCAGCTTTGTTCTATAGGATAAAACACCCTCTTTCTCCTTCCATGTCCTATGGGGGAAATAACTGGGGGTGGTGGTGTGTGTTTGTGTGTTCCTGGGGCAAGCTCTTCTCATGCCCTTCTCTCCCTCCGGCCACAGGAGAATACGTGGAAGGGGTCAGCGAGCAGGACGTCCTTCTCCTCCACTCTTGCCGCCAGTGGACGACGGTGACCGCCCACAGCCTGGAAGAGGGCCACTACGTCATTGGCCCGAAGATCGACATCCCCCTCCAGTACCCAGGTAATCAGGGCTGGGAGAAGGAGCTGGCTGGCGGAGGTGTGGGCGAGTGGCACCGTGGGAGCACTGCCCAGTGGACTTGGATGGATCCTGGACACGCCCGTTATTCTGTGGGTTCTCATGGCCATGGATTTTTGCGTGCACCAGCTCAGTGTTCAATGTATTTTATGTCTGCAATGGCTTTCTAGCCACAGGGGCATTCCTCCTTCATTTGAATAGATGCCTGCATCCCCTTCAGCATTCGGGATGAGAAAGGAAACACACACACACACACACAACCTGCGTCACTGAGAGGCAGAAGGAGGAGGAGGCCCTGGCTTTGGAAGCCCCATTTCGGGAGTGGAAGGAAGAGAGCAGAAGCCCGAAGGGGGAGGAGGCCGATGCTGTATTCTGCTCTGGGGAAGAGCCCTGGGCAACCGGGGAGGAAGCAGAGACCCCTGGAATCGTGGCCCCCACCCTAGTCAACGCAGGGGCATTTGTGGGTCCTGCCACCTGGAGGGACCCCTTTCCCTTCCAGGGCAAAACGGTGGGAGGGGTTGCAGTGTGATCTCAGTCTTGCCACATTTCGAGGCTGGTTTGAATTACGGTTTTGGGTGTTCTGGACAAAGTGTTTCTCTCCAAATGTGGCCGGTACAACAAGAAGAGTTTGGGTTGTTTTTGCAGAGAAAGCGGAGTTTTGGGAAGGTTGCTTTGCTCCTGAATTGTTTAGCGGCAGGTGAAGTTGAGCCCCTCGTGTTTGTTGTGTGTGAGAGAGACAAGGGGCCAAAGAGAGGATGTCGTCTTCTTTCTTCCTTGCACGCACCTCAGCAAACAGAATCCCCCACTCAACGTAGCTGTGCTGATTGGCGGGATTCTGGCAGTTTGTTTGTTTCTTTGTTTGTTTATTTGATTTCTACCCCGCCCCTCTAGACAACGTCTACTCGTAGTTGTAGTTTTAAGGAGTCACTTCCCTCAAGCAGCGCTTCAGAGGAAGTGGGCTGCAGTCCATGTCAAGGTTATCTGTTAGAGGGACATCTTGCATCATTGTTTACAGCTTGCTGCAGGGACCTGGGGGAGCGTGTGGCGATCAGCGGACCCTCAGGAGTTGCTTCTTTCCTTCTATCTTTCTGTCTTTTCCTTCCTTCCTTCCTTCTTGCTTTCTTTTCCTTCCTTCCTTCCTTCTTGCTTTCTTTTCCTTCCTTCCTTCCTTCTTGCTTTCTTTTCCTTCCTTCCTTCCTTCTTGCTTTCTTTTCCTTCCTTCCTTCCTTCTTGCTTTCTTTTCCTTCCTTCCTTCCTTCTTGCTTTCTTTTCCTTCCTTCCTTCCTTCTTGCTTTCTTTTCCTTCCTTCCTTCCTTCTTGCTTTCTTTTCCTTCCTTCCTTCCTTCTTGCTTTCTTTTCCTTCCTTCCTTCCTTCTTGCTTTCTTTTCCTTCCTTCCTTCCTTCTTGCTTTCTTTTCCTTCCTTCCAACCTGGGTGAGCCCGAGGTTGTGCCTAGGGCCATGCTGGCAGAGCAGCCTTTTCTAGCCCTCGCGGCCGTTCTTTCTCCTTTATTTTTGATTTTCTGGCACCAGGTTCCGAGGGCCAGCGAGACCCCAGGATGTTTCCCCAAAAGGCTTTGGTTCCCTCTGGGGCTGTTGGGTCGCCACTGCTTTCTTCAGCCCTTTGATGAGGCCGTTTGTATGTTTTGCCTTCCTATTGGGGGGGGGGTCCGTTGGAGGCATGTTGCTGCCCCTCTCTGGCTCCCCCCCTTTCAACTTCCTGGACAGGCTTGGGAAGTGGCCCAGCTGACAAGAGTCTGTCTGACCGGCCCCAGGGCAACCCGGGGGAGTCTCCAGTTCCAGGGGTGGTGGGGAAAGTGGGACCGGGGCTTTGCTTCAACAGGTCCCAAATCCTGGCCCCCTGGGCGGTCCTGGGCAGGCTGCCTGTGGCCTTTCCTGCCGTCCTGACACCAGGCCCTGCCTCCCGAGGGGTGTGTGTGTGAGGACGGGCGCAGGATTAGGGCC